AGCATTGTCACAGTTATAAAGGTGTTTGGCCAGACAAGGAAAATTGTATCCCCGATCGCTATCCGCGAAACGTTTACGCCTGTACTGTTTTTTTTATCCTAACAATGTCGGCAACCATTCCATCCCTGATAGAGACAGTTGTCATAGAAACAACGTGACAGCATGGATATTAAGGTGTCGGTTTTAGATAAGGCCCTCCGTCACAGTCTCGTCCACAGAATCAGTATGCAGTTATCAAGTGGTTCATGTACATTGCTAGAAGGTAGTTTTTTTTCTTTCTCAACCGAAAACGACCGGTAATGGTCAACGGAGGTATGGTTGTTTGAAAGGAATAGAGTTACTGCGGAATCCAAGGATCTGATCTGGGGCTGTACTATATTAATCTAACGACCTACCGGAAGATAAATTTCCATTCCGCCCATGAATAGAAAGCAAAAAAACAAAAAAAAAACATCAACTGAAGTGCGCACCTAACTCGGGGCGTACACTTTCCAAAGAGAACATATTGAGAACGTTCGTACTACCTCCGTTAGATTAGTTCTTAAGGAGATAGTCATTATTTTTCGGACTACTCCTAACAATAGTACATAGGCACGCCTGATGAGACGTGATCGAACCCTTTAAAATCATTTCAGAGAAAATGATCCTGAGGTGACCAATTTCATCCAACCCAACAATAACAGTACTGCTACAAGTGGTCCCCTAATCACTAGAAAAAGTCACAAAGCTGTCGATACCTGTATCGTAAATTGCCTGTTATCTAAGTAGGTGAAACGAACCGATCTGTTGAAATTGTAGATTTAAATACCGATTGAAAATAAACTTTTTTAATTCGTGCACATTCAATTTGATCGCATGATCAAGTCAAAGTTATGCACACATGTAATGACTTTAAATGGTAATATACTTCAACAAGATGTAATTAGAACCCATATATACATACAATGTGTCCTCCAGCGCCACAACTTACACTGTAAGTAACATGTTCAGGGTCATAATACCTCAGTGGAATTATTTTTCTATAAATACTTTATTTTATTTTATATTTCAAAAAAACAACAAGGCAAGGTTTTTATTTACATGTAGTTTCAGAGGGATTGGAAAACATACCTAGACTTTATATTACTGAGCTGACAAAAGAATACCTAGGCTTTATATTACTGAGCTGACAAAAACATACTTAGACTTTATATTACTGAGCTGACAAAAACATACCTAGACTTTATATAACTGAGCGGACAAAAACATACTTAGACTTTATATTACTGTGCTGGCAAAAACATACTTAGACTTTATATTACTGAGATGACAAAAACATACTTAGACTTTATATTACTGGGCTGACAAAAACATACTTAGACTTTATATTAGTGAGCTGACAAAAACATACTTAGACTTTATATAACTGAGCTGACAAAAACATACTTAGACTTTATACTACTGTGCTGGCAAAAACATACTGAGACTTTATATTACTGAGCTGACAAAAACATACCTAGGCTTTATATTACTGAGCTGACAAAAACATACTTAAACTTTATATTACTGAGCTGGCAAAAACATACCTAGACTTTATATTACTGAGCTGGCAAAAACATACCTAGACTTTATATAACTGAGCTGACAAAAACATACTTAGACTTTACATTACTGAGCGGACAAAAACATACTTAGACTTTATATTACTGTGCTGGCAAAAACATACTTAGACTTTATATTACTGAGATGACAAAAACATACTTAGACTTTATATTACTGGGCTGACAAAAACATAATGTTTACGATTTTTGGTTCTAATAGATTGAAGCCAAAACAGTTTCAGATTTTTGATATGTAAGGTTAAGGACAAAAAAACAACAAGGCAAGGTTTTTATTTACATGTAGTTTCAGAGGGATTGGAAAACATCCCTAGACTTTATATTACTGAGCTGACAAAAGAATACCTAGGCTTTATATCACGGAGCTGACAAAAACATACTTAGACTTTATATAACTGAGCTGACAAAAACATACTTAGACTTTATATTAGTGAGCTGACAAAAACATACTTAGACTTTATATTACTGAGCTGGCAAAAACATACCTAGACTTTATATTACTGAGCTGGCAAAACATACCTAGACTTTATATTACTGAGCTGGCAAAAACATACCTAGACTTTATATTACTGAGCTGACAAAAGAATACCTAGGCTTTATATCACGGAGCTGACAAAAACATACTTAGACTTTATATAACTGAGCTGACAAAAACATACCTAGACTTTATATTACAGAGCTGACAAAACATACCTAAACTTTATATTACTGAGCTGACAAAAACACAATGTTTACGATTTTTGGTTCTGATAGATTGGAACCAAAACAGTTTCAGATTTTTGATATGTAAGGTTAAGGACAAAAAAACAACAAGGCAAGGTTTTTATTTACATGTAGTTTCAGAGGGATTGGAAAACATCCCTAGACTTTATATTACTGAGCTGACAAAAGAATACCTAGGCTTTATATCACGGAGCTGACAAAAACATACTTAGACTTTATATAACTGAGCTGACAAAAACATACCTAGACTTTATATAACTGAGCTGACAAAAACATACTTAGACTTTACATTACTGAGCGGACAAAAACATACTTAGACTTTATATTAATGAGCTGACAAAAACATACTTAAACTTTATATTACTGAGCTGGCAAAAACATACCTAGACTTTATATAACTGAGCTGACAAAAACATACTTAGACTTTATACTACTGTGCTGGCAAAAACATACTTAGACTTTATATTACTGAGATGACAAAAACATACTTAGACTTTATATTACTGTGCTGACAAAAACATACCTAGACTTTATATTACTGAGCTGGCAAAACATACCTAAACTTTATATTACTGAGCTGACAAAAACATACCTAGACTTTATATAACTGAGCTGACAAAAACATACTTAGACTTTACATTACTGAGCGGACAAAAACATACTTAGACTTTATATTAATGAGCTGACAAAAACATACTTAGACTTTATACTACTGTGCTGGCAAAAACATACTGAGACTTTATATTACTGAGCTGACAAAAACATACCTAGACTTTATATAACTGAGCGGACAAAAACATACTTAGACTTTATATTACTGTGCTGGCAAAAACATACTTAGACTTTATATTACTGAGCTGACAAAACCTTCTTAGACTTTATATTACTGAGCTGGCAAAAACATACCTAGACTTTATATTACTGAGCTGACAAAAACATAATGTTTACGATTTTTGGTTCTGATAGATTGAAACCAAAACAGTTTCAGATTTTTGATATGTAAGGTTAAGGACAAAAAAATCAAAAGGTCTAATTTTAAAAATCGCTTTTGAATTTTGAATTGTTTCGTACTAAACAGACAAAGGATCCCAACTCGGCGGCCTATGTGATCCTTTCAATGGCATTCTGTATTTATCGATATTGATGATCGACTTGACCTTTGACCTTTTTGGGTCATCTGTTGGCCTTTGATATAGCATAAAAGTATGGAAATGTGATACATGAAAAGTAAGGATAATCATATCTATCGATAATGATGGTAGATTTTGACCTCTGACCTTCGCCTCCCTACAGATTGACTTTTATCATATGTAATAACGTTTGAGTGGAATCACTTCATTTCAAATGAACCTCTGTTAAGCCCCTCCCCAGACCATGAACGACTTTTTCGGTCAGGCCCTTCCAGAGACCCTAAAAAACCTTCTCTGTCAGGCCCCTCCCCAAACCCTAGAAAACCTTATCTGTGAAGCCCCTCCCTAGGCCCTAGAAAATTCTCTGTCAGGCCCCTCCCCAGACCATGGAAAACATTCTCTGCTAAGCCCCTCCCCAGACCCTAGATAACATTATCTGTGAAGCCCCTCCCTAGATCCTGGAAAACATTCTCTGTCAGGCCCCTCCCCAAATTATGGAAAACCTTCTCGGTCAGGCCCCTCCGCAGACCCTGGAAAACATTCTCTGTCAGGCCCCTCCCCAGACCCTGGAAAACATTCTCTGTTTAGCCCCTCCCAAGACCCCGGATAACATCCTCTGTTAGGCCCCTCTCCAGATCATGTAAACATTCTCGATCATCCCCTCCCTTGACTGCGGAAAACGTTCTTTGTCAGGCCCCTCCCCTGAATCAGTTGAATCAGTAATTTCTATATCATACTTTGGATTCCGTTGCGCATGACATAATTTTAAAACACTAGTTTCGACCACCCTTGGGACAGATCGTATTTTAATGAAGGAGCGTCTCCGCATGACCGAGAAAGTTTACTATGATGTATGACGTCATTACCCTTTTAACTGCTCATACTACATACAAGTAGCCCGGGGGTAGGGCGAGAGACACGCCCTGTTCGTCCAGTACATTATGCACAACCGCGCCTATATAGTTTACCATACCTTATTTACATTTAAATTCTTTACTTACCAATCAATCAACCACCTTAAACAGTTCCGTCTTCTTTCTAATAACTAAAAAATGTACGTATAATGCGTACCTCTATACGTTCGTGTACTACACAAATCGGGGCGGGGTCAAGTTAGGTCACAACTTCTTTTAAAATAATTGCAAAAATAATGCATACAAATCTGTTTATACAAAAGTAATACCAAGCGAAGGGGACATTTAGAAAGTGAGTGAAAACACACCTTGCGCCTGCTTCACATTAAAAACACACATTACAAGGCATTCATTTAAGCTTGAAGCCAAACTGATACTTATTGTTTTAATATGCAAATGAAGCATCTGTGTAACTTTATTGTGAATGGTAGTACAGTATAAAAAGGATTAGCCCCAGGCAAGCATATGTATATGTATGTAAAACAAATTATGTGTAAATTTACACCTGAATCATTTCAACGATGAATGCTGAGTGGAATTTAGAATATTTCATTTAACAAGGAAAAGATGCCAGTACCGGTATAAAATCTTAATTCCGTCAAAGGTTAGTTAAACACGATTAAAATCAAACCTACCTGAGAGATACTTAGGTGTACAGATGCTAAAAAGCACACGGCGAGGATCTGAAATCCGGTGTTCATAGTGCTACAGGTGAGGTTCACACCTGGACGTAACACATAGGTTTCCAAAACACCAAAATTAACTTTTTCACAAATTTAACACATCCGATGTTTCCAAAAGTGTTCCGAAATAGAAAAAAGTCAGTTTGCAGTTGTTTCCCGCCTGATAGAGTAGCCAGGTCTGTCCCAACCACACCCTTGAAATAAAGCGCGTGACACGGAGACGTGAACCCGACACAGTCCGATGCTCACCGTGCCGTGCCTTTTAGGCCTTAGAGGGATGGGGTCCCTAACTAAAGGTTACAATTGGTTCCCAAATCCGAACCGTACAGAAGCACATGGAGATACCTTAGACGGGAGCTACATGTGTGTTACAATTACGTACACAATTCATTCCAGTTAACACTGGACTAATATACAGTGTATAAATAACGTATCCAGTACTGCTGTGTGTCGATGTAGACCTGCTATTAAAATGCAATTGATATGAACGTACAGTTCCTGGTGGTCATGCACTACTGCACCAGAACATTTGCACGATTCCAGACATTTAAGGTTTACCTCTACCTTGGCCTTCTACAAGTGTAGTGTTTGTACTGGACTAGACGTATGCACGATACGGAACAGGAAGAGCATAGCGGTCTCCAAGACATGTCGCCGGCTGTGGTCAATGGACAGTACGAGTCCGGGTATTGTCAGAGGGCATAGCAGCTGGATATCGAACTTATCTGCGATCATATTTTTATTTTAACTGGAAACCGTTTTTTGCACAGATGTTTCAATATAGAGCAAACATGTGTATGTTGTGATACCTGGAAAACCTTAGTTAACATGTAGACATGATTTAACTTGCTTCAAACAACACACCAGAGAAATCGCTGGTGTATATACTAAACACTAGAGAAACCACTGTTAATACATACCATGTAGGATCCTTATATATAAACATAGAAGTGACATTAAAAAGATAAGTAACATAACATATGCTTCACAATAACATTATATAAATTGAGCAGGAACACTATATTTTTAAGTAGCAACATTAGATATAATAAAATCACCGGTGTGTAGACTTTACAGAAATATAACTGTTGTCCCGTTACCGGTGTGTAGCCTATACAGATATAATAGTGTTGTCAGTTTATCGATGTGTAGCCTATACAGTTATATCAGTGTTGTCACGTTACCGGTGTGTAGCGTATACATATATATCAGTGTTGTCACGTTACCGGTGTGTAGTCTAAACAGATATATCAGTGTTGTCACGGTATCGGTGTGTAGCCTATACAGATATATCAGTGTTGTCACGGTACCGGTGTGTAGCGTATACATATATATCAGTGTTGTCACGTTACCGGTGTGTAGCCTAAACAGTTATATCAGTGTTGTCACGGTACCAGTGTGTAGCCTATACAGACATATCAGTGTTGTCACGGTACCGGTGTGTAGCGTATACATATATATCAGTGTTGTCTCGTTACCCGTGTGTAGCGTATACATATATATCAGTGTTGTCACGTTACCGGTGTGTAGTCTATACAGATATATCAGTGTTGTGACGGTACCGGTGTGTAGCCTCTACAGATATATCAGTGTCGTCACAGTACCGGTGTGTAGCCTTTACAGTTATATCCGTGTTGTCACGTTACCGGTGTGTAGCCTAAACAGTTATATCAGTGCGTCACGCTACCGGTGTGTAGTCTATACAGTTATATCAGTGTTGTCACGTTACCGGTGTGTAGCCTATACAGTTATATCAGTGTTGCCACGTTACCGGTGTGTAGACTTTACAGATATATAAGTGTTGTCACGGTACCGGTGTGTAGCCTATACAGATATATCAGTGTTGTCACAGTACCGGTGTGTAGCCTATACAGATATATAAATGTTGTCATGTTACCTGTATGTAGCCTATACAGATATATAAGTGTTGTCACGTTACTGGTGTGTAGTCTAAACAGTTATATCAGTGTTGTCACGTTACCGGTGTGTAGCCTATACAGATATATTATACAGTTATATCAGTGTTGTCACGTTACCGGGGTGTAGCCTATACATTTATATCAGTGTTGCCACGGTACCGGTGTGTAGAGTTTACAGATATATCAGTGTTGTCCTGTTACCGGTGTGTAGCCTATACAGTTATAAGATATATAAGTGTTGTCACGTTACCGGTGTGTAGACTTCACAGATATATAAGTGTTGTCACGTTACCGGTGTGTAGCCTATACATTTATATCAGTGTTGCCACGGTACCGGTGTGTAGACTTTACAAATATATCAGTGTTGTCACGGTACCGGTGTGTAGCCTATACAGATATATAAGTGTTGTCACGTTACCGGTGTGTAGTCTATACAGTTATATCAGTGTTGTCACGTTACCGATGTGTAGCCTATACAGTTATATCAGTGTTGTCACGTTACCGGGGTGTAGCCTATACATTTATATCAGTGTTGCCCCGGTACCGGTGTGTAGACTTTACAAATATATCAGTGTTGCCACGGTACCGGTGTGTAGACTTTACAGATATATCAGTGTTGTCCCGCTACCGGTGTGTAGCCTATACAGACATATCAGTGTTGTCACGGTACCGGTGTGTAGTCTATACAGTTATATCAGTGTTGGCACGTTACCGGTGTGTAGCCTATACATTTATATCAGTGTTGCCACGTTACCGGTGTGAAGTCTATACAGATATATCTGTGTTGCCACGTTACCGGTGTGTAGCCTATACAGATATATCAGTGTTGTCACGGTACCGGTGAGTAGCCTATACAGTTATATCAGAGTTGTCACGTTACCGGTGTGTAGAGTTTACAGATATATTAGTGTTGTCAGGGTACCGGTGTGTAGCCTATACAGTTATCTCAGTGTTGCCACGTTACCGGTGTGAAGTCTATACAGATATATCTGTGTTGCCACGTTACCGGTGTGTAGCCTAAACAGATATATCAGTGTTGTCACGTTACCGGTGGGTAGCCTATGCAGTTAGATCAGTGTTGTCACGTTACCGATGTGTAGCTTATACAGTTATATCAGTGTTGTCACGTTACCGGGGTGTAGACTTTACAGATATATTAGTTTTGTCACGGTACCGGTGTGTAGCATATACAGTTATATCAGTGTTGCCACGTTACCGGTGTGTAGTCTATACAGATATATCAGTGTTGCAACGTTACCGGTGTGTAGCCTATACAGATATATCAGTGTTGTCCCGTTACCGGTGTGTAGTCTATACAGTTATATCAGTGTTGTCACCTTACCGGTGTGTAGTCTATACAGATATATCAGTGTTGTCACGTTACCGGTGTGTAGCCTATACAGTTATATCAGTGTTGTCACGTTATCGGTGTGTAGCCTATACAGTTATATCAGTTTTGCCACAGTACCGGTGTGTAGTCTATACAGTTATATCAGTGTGGTCACCTTACCGGTGTGTAGTCTATACAGATATATCAGTGTTGTCACGTTACCGGAGTGTAGACTTTACAGATATATCAGTGTTGTCAAGGGACCGGTGTGTAGCCTATACAGTTATATCAGTGTTGTCACGGTACCGGTGGGTAGCCTATACAGTTATATCAGTTTTGCCACGGTACCGGTGTGTAGTCTATACAGTTATATCAGAGTTGTTACGTTACCGGTGTGTAGCCTATACAGACATATCAGTGTTGTCACGGTACCGGTGTGTAGTCTATACAGTTATATCAGAGTTGTTACGTTACCGGTGTGTAGCCTAAACAGATATATCAGTGTTGTCACGGTACCGGTGGGTAGCCTATACAGTTATATCAGTTTTGCCACGGAACCGGTGTGTAGTCTATACAGATATATCAGTGTTGTCACGTTACCGGTGTGTAGACTTTACAGATATATCAGTGTTGCCAAGTACCGGTTTGTAGTCTATACAGATATATCAGTGTTGCCCCGTTACCGGTGTGTAGCCTATACATTTATATCAGTGTTGCCAAGTACCGGTGTGTAGTCTATACAGATATATCAGTGTTGCCACGTTACCGGTGTGTAGCCTATACAGTTATATCAGTCTTGGCACGGTACCGGTGTGTCGTCTATACAGTTATAGAAGTGTTGTCACGTTATCGGTGTGTAGCCTATATAGTTATATCAGTGTTGTCACGTTACCGCTGTGTAGCCTATACAGGATATATCAGTGTTGTCGCGTTACCTATGTGTAGCCTATACATATATATCAGTGTTGTCACGTTCCTGGTGTGTAGCCTATAAAGACATATCAGTGTTGTCACCTTACCGATGTGTAGCCTATACAGATATATAAGTGTTGTCACGTTACCGGTGTGTAGCGTATACATATATATCAGTGTTGTCCCGTTACCGGTGTGTAGCCTATACAGACATATCAGTGTTGTCACGGTACCGGTGTGTAGTCTATACAGATATAGAAGTGTTGTCACGTTACCGGTGTGTAGCCTATACAGTTATATCAGTGTTGCCACGTTACCGGTGTGTAGACTTTACAGATATAGAAGTGTTGTCACGGTACCGGGGTGTAGCCTATACAGTTATATCAGTGTTGCCACGTTACCGGTGTGTAGCCTATACAGTTATGTCAGTGTTGCCACGTTACCGGTGTGTAGACTTTACAGATATAGAAGTGTTGTCACGGTACCGGTGTGTAGCCTATACAGAGTGTTGCCACGTTACCGGTGTGTAGTCTATACAGTTATATCAGTGTTGTCACGTTACCGGTGTGTAGCCTATACAGACATATCAGTGTTGTCACGGTACCGGTGTGTAGTCTATACAGTTATATCAGTGTTGTCACGTTACCGATGTGTAGCCTATACAGTTATATCAGTGTTGCCACGTTACCGGTGTGTAGCCTATACAGATATATCATTGTTGTCACGTTACCTGTATGTATTCTATACAGATATATCAGTGTTGTCACGTTACCGGTGTGTAGCCTATACAGTTATATCAGTATTGTCACGTTACCTGTATGTAGCCTATATAGTTATATCAGTGTTGTCATGTTACCGGTGTGTAGCCTATACAGTTATATCAGTGTTTCCACGGTACAGGTGTGTAGACTTTACAGATATATCAGTGTTGTCACGGTACCGGTGTGTAGCCTATACAGATATATAAGTGTTGTCACGTTACCGGTGTGTAGACTTTACAGATATATCAGTGTTGTCCCGTTACCGGTGTGTAGCCTATACAGACATATCAGTTTGTCACGGTACCGGTGTGTAGTCTATACAGTTATATCAGTGTTGTCACGTTACCGGTGTGTAGCCTATACAGTTATATCAGTGTTGCCACGTTACCGGTGTGTAGACTTTACAGATATATAAGTGTTGTCACGGTACCGGTGTGTAGCCTATACAGATATATCAGTGTTGTCACGGTACCGGTGTGTAGCCTATACAGATATATAAGTGTTGTCATGTTACCTGTATGTAGCCTATACAGATATATAAGTGTTGTCACGTTACCGGTGTGTAGTCTAAACAGTTATATCAGTGTTGTCACGTTACCGGTATGTATTATATACAGATATATAAGCGTTGTCAAATTACCTGTAT